ACATATAACCTCCTCCCTGGGGGACAGACAACAGAAAAGTGGGTGAAGGGAGACGTTGGACAGTGTAAGATATGACAAAATAATAATTTATGAATTATGAGGGTTCATGAGGGAGGGGGGAAGGGAAGGGAGGGGGGGAAATGAGAAGCTGATATTAAGGGCTCAAGCAGAAAGCAAATGCTTTGAGAGTGGTGATGGCAACACATGGACAAATGTGCCTGACACAATGGATGTGTGGATGTATGGATTGTGATAAGAATCGATGAGCCCCCCAAAATATGATTTTAAAAAAAAGAGAGATTTACAGTATTGGAAACCCAAGGGGGCCATTTTACTCTGCTGGTAGGGTTGCTGTGAGTCAGGATGAACTCACCTGACATGATAGGGTATTGATTTATTTTCTTTTTAGGACACCATCTCTCGAAGCCAGAGGGGAAGTTTGGCTAGACTCTAGAGCACGGGTGTCAAACTGGAGGCCCATGGGCTGCATGCGGCCCCGAGGTAATTTTTTGTGGCTCACAATGTTCTGAAATAAAATGAAAATAGAAAAAAATGTTATGAAGAAGATAGCGCTTAGGGGAGATCAGGCAGTACCGTACACACAATTCCCTCGTTAATCCTTTAACTACTGAAGACGAGTAAACGAGTGGCCCAATGCTTTTTCTGGGGGCTGCGGACGTAAATGAACCCCCTGGCTCACTTCCGGCGACGTTGGGAAGTGATATGTCTGCCACTCTGTGTCACGTAATGTAAACAGTTCCCAATAGAGAAAAGGTGAAAAAGAGCACTCAGGGTTGTGCTGTTATGAATCATACCTAGCAGCATTTTAACATTTTTAGAGGGAAGCCATTACGATTGTGTATCACGTTTGTCAGCTGTCCAACATTTTGCGTTTTTTATGTTACTTTGTTATATTTTCCGGTCACAACATAAGAGGTAAGTGAAAACCAGTAGGAGGAAAGCGCTGGCAAGTTTCGGGTAAAAAAAAATAATTTTAGTTTTGTAAATACATAAAGTAAAATAAATGTTTAAATAAAAGCAATTATATAGTGTTTTAATGATCCTATCCACAGTCCTTGCGGTAGTCAGATGCCCAGGCTCAGTGGTAAGAGCTCCTGTGTGAATGAGGCAGGGAGGAAAGGAACACCGGCTGGGAGGGTGCCAGAGGAGGAGGACAGGTTTGGACCGGATGGCATAAGGTTATGGGATCTGGAGTCCAACCACCTGGCTCTAAACCCACCTGGATGAGCTGTGACGACCTCTGTGACCTTGGAAACTTCATCCTCTCTTGTCAGTGAATCAAAGGCAAATCAGATGGCCTTTCCTCACTGTTGTGGGAAAGTAAAGAGGTAACAGGTGTGAACGTGCTGTGTTAGCAGCCAACCACTAACTAAATATTAGACCCACTGTTATTAGGGAAGCAGTCAACTGCATGGGATAGCACAGCTAAAGGAGAGTTTAGATGAGCTAGAGTATAGGCCATCTCTGTCCTGGAGTGGAAATAAGATAAACAGATCGATCAACACACACACTACACAAACCAATACAGTGATTTGCACACTGAGATGGGTCTACAGAAGGCTGATGGGACCCTCTCAGTTCCCTTACAGAGGCTCTCAGTTGAATATAGGGTGGGCCAAGAAAGTCAAATCTGAGTAGTGTCAGGTGGTTGGGGAATCATGTGGATTTGAGAGTCAAAGTTGGTACTGCTTTTCTGGGGATGGATTATCCGTCGTTCTCACTAGAGTCTCAGAAGGTCTATGGCATTCTGACACCCCCCACCCCGCAACCAAAGAACGGCTGAGCGTCACTGATGTTTCTCTCCAGAAATTAAGAAGCGTTATCCTTGGAGAGAGGCAATGGAAGGAGGAGGAGATGACCGCTTTCAATATTTCTGAGCGATTTGCATTTTCTAATCACAAACATGTACCGTGGGGCTTCCAACGCTCATGAAACCATTTCATTTTAGCACGAATTTCTAAAAGCTCCCTCTTCGTGGTTTCATGTAAAACCCTGCCCACGGCGGTTAGTTCCATAATGGGAGAATGAACCCTGCGGGCTTGTGATTACCAGAGGACTGCTCACCTCAAGGTCAACGGCTCCAAACCACCAGTGGGAGAGAGTCAGGAAGCTCCGGCACAGAGCTCCTCTTGGAAACCCACAGAGGCAGTTCTATCCCGACCTGTCACTCTGAGATGGAATCGACTGATGGCAGTGAGCTTTGATCTGTTGTTTTTGTTCCGTTTTCTTTACTCTAAGGTTTACAATCACAAACGCTTAATAGCTGTCATTTAAAAACCCTGTTAAGTTTCAGCAGACCGCATGCAAAAATGACTCCATTATGCAAAGCCTTTCTTTTATTGTCCTCAATTATGCAAAGTCTATACTGTATGGATTGGCTTCCATTCAGGAGTACACGAATGGAGGAGAAGAAAAAAAAAGGCAAACAATTTCAACGATTTCAACTTAGGTACAAAAAGTGTCAAATACGTGTCCACCTTCATGTATACTGTTGGCATATGAAGCTTCAAGGGATTGAACAGGGCAGGGTTAAATCCATACCCTCTCCCCACGCACTCTAGTAATTACTGTGTCCACGTCACGTTTCCGGGTGCGCGTGTCCTCATTCACGCAGGAACTGAAGTTCAAAGCAGGCAGGAGTCACCCAAGTTCTCTTTGCTACACCCCGAAACTCAACCCAGGAGCTGGGCCCCCTGAGGATCCGGCGACACCTGACGATTGTCTAACTGGCTGAGTCCCACGTGGTAACAGGCTTCCAACCTCGCCCCCACGTGCTGCCAAGGGCCAGGAACCAGAAGAGCGGGCAGGCGGGAGTCGCATCAGGGGCATTTAAAGTGTCCTGACGTCACGCACTGCCAGTAACTCAGCTGAGTTTTCAGCAAGACATTCCAGCCATCTCCCTTCCCTCCCCCCGCGCTTCTGGGCCAAGGCCTCCGCTCTTCCCCGGCTGTTGCGGAGGGAGGAGCACCACGCCGTCTGGAACAGCCAGTCCAGGGGCGTCCCCAGTTTCTCTTGGTCCCGCCCCTTCGCCAAGCGGCCTTGTCATTGGCCGATGGGTGGGGCTTCGACTATACAGTACACGCACCGCGGCCCCTGGGTGGTGGAGAAAACTGGCCAGCTCATGAATTATGCATAACGGCGTGTCTAGACCGGGCAGGCTCTAGGGCGAGGATTGGCTAGAGGGCTTGTCAGTCATTCGCTTCCGGAGCTGCGGCGGCGTAGACTGGGAGGAGGAGCCTGGGGTTCCGACGTCGCGCAGAGGGAGCGAGCCCCAGCCGGATCCCTGACGAGCACCCCAACTTGTTCTGTCTTCCCGCTTGCTGGCAGGGTCCCCGCGGCCCGAGAGAGCCCCGCGGCCCGCACCCCAACCCCAGCGCAGTCCCGGCCGGTCGGGCCTCAGCCGGAGAAACAGGTGAAGGGGGTGAAGGGTGGGGCCGCCTCCGCAGACACCCCCCAGGCCTGGGGGCCTCGGGGAGCCCGGGGGCGGGTGCCAGCTTCCGAGCGTGTGTGTGTTTGTGAAACTGGAAACTTGGGCGGGGTGGGCTAGGTGAGGGGGCCTGCAGCGTCACTCTGAGGGGACCACCCCCCGGGATGACAGGCGGCGGCACTGAAGGGAAAGGGGCGCCGCGAGGAAGTTTCGCTCTTCGGAAAAGGGAGCGAAGCGGACGTAGAGGGAGACAGCTCAAGGGGGAGGCGGGAGAGAGAGCACTCGGGGATGGGGTGGCAGGCCTCAGGGACAGCCCCCCGACTTCCTGCTCCCCGGGATTCGGGGGACGTTCTGGCCACAGGCGGGCACTGGGGGCGGGGGCGTGGAAAGAGCCCGGTCCCCGCCGCGCTGGCAGGTCCGGCGGCTCCCGGCGGAGCCACTTCCTCCTTGCCCGGTGCCCCGCTCCTTTAGGTGCCGGCTGTGACCCTCTGGAGGTAGAAATAGGTGTCTGGTCCCGGGAGCCTCGCGGGCTGCTGGGTGGCGGGGAGGACTATTGCATAAGAGGCTAGTTTCCTGTAGGGAAATTGACAGACTTGTACTCTTTCTAAATCCCTTCCCATCTAATGAAGGGTAAGCCGGGCGTTTCCCCCCCCTTTTTGAAACACGAGGAAGCAAAACCAGACCCCAGTGTAGCCAGCCCTAGAAAGGAATAAACCTTTCTTCGTTGACATTGTTCTTTTATATAAACACCTGGTAGGCGCCGAAACGCTGCCGGAAGATAAATAATTGAGCCATTGCGTTTACTGGATTGTGGTGTTGCTTAATTGCACAGGACAGAATGAACCAAGCGGCTGTGGGAGTTTTCTGTCTCCGAGCCAAGATCTTGGGTAAATGCAGCAGAGAGGGGAACAAAGACAGGTTGTATGCAAACTTTACCTGTTTGGGGGTGGTGGCTGGGCGTAAGTGAGCAAAATTCAGACGGTCGCTTAAGTTACTTTTTTCTTGTTTCGTCCACATCACTCTTAAAAATCTAGTAGGTGTAGGTGTGCCAACACCATCAGCAGTTAGTCACTTTTTATTATTAAATACATAGATGTATAGTGTGTACCTACTGGTGTTTATTGCTCGTGTGCTAATAAAGATTCGGTTTGAATAAATCAAAATGGTAAATCATCTCGGTCTCCCTATGTGGACTTGCACTGTGATTGAGTTCAGCTAAATGTCGATGGTTTTTCCCCATCTTATTTCAAATGTGCCCTCAAGAGGCAACACAGTTAGTCATAACATATGTAAGACTGGAATAGTAACAGAAGTTTTGTTCTGATGTTTGCATAGGAGGGTGGGAGAAACGTCCGGAATTGAAAAAAAAAAATGCTGTTGATGTTAGAAGACTTGGTCTATATCCATGCCCACAACCATCCGAGACCCACTAGCAGATTTATGGAAGTGGATGAGTGTGTGCGGATCTTTTCGGGAAGGATCCGTTTAGAAATTCAGTTATAACTTGACACACAAAGAGTTAGTGATAGAAGTGATTAACATGGCATAAACCTTTTTAATCGATAAGGAAATTGAGGCCAAAGGGACACGGTAAGAAAGTACTAGAGGCGGAGCTCATTCTTTTTGTTTATGTTGTGTTCTTTTGACCATCCATGCTTGAGTATTAGGTCTTGACTTAGAAAGACTAAGCTGTTCTGGGGAAAGTGTCTGGGTGATTCTAAGGACGTTCATTTCCCTTGGACTCCCGGTTGATAATTTGCATTTCCACTCCAGGTATACTGTATCAGAGTCAATGCTGTGCGTTAGGTGGTGAGCTGCTGGCCCCAAGGTCTTAGATCAAACCCACCAGCCCGGTGCGAAGGGAGAAAGAGGAGTCTGCCTGCTTCTGTAAAGATTTACAATCATAGGAACCCCTTTTAGGGTTGCGATGAGTCAGAGTTGGTTTGGTGGCAGTAGGTTTGATTTTTGGACTTATCATAACATGCATAAACTTTAAAGACTAATTGACACTCAGGGGACATGGTTTATAGGAGGTTATCATTTGGGGGCTCTGGGTTCAAAGCCCCAAAGGTTGAGCTCTGGGCTGCTAGCCTAGAGGTTGCTGGTTCCAACCTACCCAGTGGCTCCACAGGAGACAGACCTGTAAAAATTCCAGCTGAGAAAACCCTAGGGGGGAGGGCAGTTCTGTTTTCTCACCTGTGGTCGGATGTGCCTGTTGGCACCCAACCACAACTGGGTCAGTTAATCAAAGTCAAGCCCCAACCAGAGAAAATAATTCTTCCAAATTCTCAATGGATTGCTGCACCTGGGTTTTACAACCCTGCCCCCAAATTAGAGACTTTTCACTAAACCAGTTACTTAATCCTTGGTTCATTGAGCCCATCCCTTACCACTTGTTATTCACTGCCTTTAGCTTTCAAAGGGAGAGCTTTGCACCCAATTTGGACCAAAGGTCTCCTGCTAGCAGATTAGTCACCTGATGAACTTTTGTGTGGAGATCTCTAACTCTGTTTGTTAAGTCAAGTACTGGTTTAATCATGGAGTGCCTACTATGTGCCAGCCACTGGCTGAGGAGGGTTAGTTTGTACACAGCAAAGGAAATCACTGCAGCAAACCTCTTTCCCAGGGAGGTGGAGGCTGACCTTACCCATAGGTGTCCTGTCTTAGTGAAATTGGGATGAAAAAAGCCTCACGTTTTTTGAGGAATTTTGATTGGCTAAAAATGGTTACTCACATTTTATGCCTTCTACACTTTAATTTTCTTTTTCCCATAACATTGGGTCTGCTCAGAGAGCACTTGAGAGACATCCTCACATCCTGAAGGCCTTGTGGGACCATAAAGTAACTGTAACCCTGAGCTCCAGCAGGAGGGCACAGCTGGCCTCTTTGCTCTCTCTCTTGGTATGGTGCAAAGAAATCATATTGTGGTTTCCACATTTGTTGGTAGAACTTTGACCTATTGTGGTGAACTTCACTGGCATCTTGTTTGAAACATTTCTAATCTTTAGAAGGAACATCATACAGTAGAATCACAATTCCTGAGGACTCCCAGGGTGTATGAAATAGGGTCTCTGTTCTCACCAGACTGGGGTTGGGGGGTCCCGTCTGGATTTGGGGCAGGGGGAATGGCAGGGCAATGAGTGATTCAAAGCTTAGGCTTGGATCCTGAACCGGCTGCTTCCCAGTCGGAATTGGAACTTCAGTTTTCTTCGTTGTAAAAGGAGGATGATAACAGGCCTGGTTCATGGCTCCATGAGCCAATGATCTTGGCAGAGGCTGAGCCGAGTGCCTGGCACACAGTCAGGGCTCCACAATTCTCTGGGTTCTGTTGTTGTTGGTGGTGTTCAATGTTCAAGAAAAGAGAAAAAAAATTAAAAAGAGAAAAACGAGCTGATCCCAAGGGCTCAAGTAGAAAGCAACTGTTTTCAGAGTGATGATGGCGACAAATATACAAATGCGCTTGACACATGTGCTTGACACAACGGATGGATGGATGGATTGTGATAAGAGTTGTATGAGCCCCCAATAACATGATTTAAAAAAGAAAGAAAGAAAAGGGAGAGAAAAGGCTTTGTCACCAAACAGGGTTTTGCGGCACTCTCCCGCAGCGCTGAGTAGTCACCTTGTCTCAAGGCTGAGGGAGCATGCCTGTGAGAGGCTTCAAGCAGCAAGGTGTGTTCAGAGAGTTACAGGTGGAGCCTCTTAATTTAGGAGGACACCGAAAGGGAAAGGAGGCTGCTGAGTCACCGTGCTTCCTCTCCTTGATCGTTCATAATAGGAGTCCGGTGTCATTCAGTTGTTTTGTCCCCCCCAGACTCCCACCCTTTGACCCCTTACCCGTCTTATAATTTTCAGCCAAAAGGTAGACAGGCCTATGAGTTGAACATCGGGGAGATAAGCACTCAGAGTAATCAACCATATGAGATTGAAAGGTCAGTATTTATCCAGGGTTCGAGCTCAGGAGGTGGGGTGGGGTGGGGTGGGATGGGCAGTGGGGGTGTGGCGTTGAACACAGGAAAGACGGAAGGAGAGAAATGTAAACCCAGGGAGGAAATGGGAAGAGTGCTGTTAGGTTGTAATCAGTATCCCAACAATCTGTGTATGAATGTTTAATAGAAATCCAACTTGCTCTGTCAATCTTTATCCAAGTTACAATAGTAAAGCAAAAAACCTGGTTTTGTGTTTGTAGAACTAGAAGGTCTGTTTTATATGTTGGGTACCAGTGAGTTGATTTTGGACTCCACGGACAGAGTAGCACGGCCCCGTAGGGTTTTCCAGGCTTGTCACCACTATAGGAGTAGCTACTCAGGCCTTTCTCCCGTCAAGCCACTAGGTAGGTTAGAACCTCCAACCTTTTGGTGAATAGCAGAGCACCTCTAGGGCTCCTGACAGCTCATGCACATCAAGTTAATAGTTTAGTATGGATTTTCCCAGAGTTTTTGCAGTTAAGTATTTCTACTTAACAATTTATCTTGAGAGTGGACTTACCGGCATGTCCAGTCTTCGTTTTCGAGACCTTAATAAAAGCATTAGGAACGCACATCTGCCTATCAAATAAAATAGAAATAATGCGTGGATTACCTGACTTTCCTTTCTGCCATTCCATTCATACAAATAAATGATTGTATTTACCACTACCTTTTAACTTGCCTTTTGAGTTTTCAAGTACATTGGCCCAGGAAACTTTTCTTTTAAGGCCTCCCAAGGTAATGGCTATTATTGTATTGTCGATAACAGTTGCTAGGGGTGTGAAGACTGGGCTATGAGATCAGATTCATTGGCTTTAAATCTCAGACCCCCCCACTTCTTCAATCTTGAGCACATTTCATTACATTTCGTGAGTCTTAGTTAACTTTTTAAAAAATCTTAGTTACTTGTTCGTAAAAGACAGGTACCAAGTCTACTTTGGAAGGGTAGTCATGAGGATTGCACAACAGAATGCTTGTGAGGCGTTGACACAATTCCTGGCAAGATCGCTAACACTC